CTCAGTGTGGCAAAGTCTGAAATGAAAATTCACCGTGAGAGGATACACGCTGGGGAGAGGAAGCCAGAAATATCGAAACGCTCCGAGGCCTTCTGAGGTCGGCACGTCTAAATGTGAGTAGTCTTTGGTGGTCCCATGGGTCAAGGGGTCGTGGGTGTCCTCAAACACATTATTAATTTCTCGGGGCCTCATTTCTTCCCTTGTAAAACGGGGGACTTGCCTGACTCCAAGCGGATGTGTGTTCTTGCTCATGTCACTGATACTCAGTATGAAGAAGATTCTCCCTGGCTGTTCCCTCTCTCTCATAACTGAGCATGCTTTTAATCCTCAATTCAGGAGCGGCTTAATCGAAGAAAGCTATATTCAAATTTCCACACGGGCCGGGAGCTACAGTAAATCCTGCAGATTGGAAGGTATTCTTAGAGCGGTGAAGTTTCATTCGAATATGTTTCAATAAAGGCTGCCTTTGATAAAGCTTGAAAAAAGCAGGTGTCATTCCTATTTGAAAAAGTTCTTTTCGCATCTTTTTCTCTCCCTCCTTTTCCCTTCACCTCCCAGAGGTCTTCATCCCTCCCATATTCCCTCCGACACCGGCATATGTTTGAAGTCATGCCATGATCACAGCAGTGCAGGCTATTTAGGGCCTGTGAGCGTAACAGCAGTCAGAGATGGCAGAAGGACGGGAAGGTTTTACATGACTGCCGTTCTTCAAAGTTCTGGCAGACCATTCTGCGGAGAGGGGAAAGTGGTGAGAACCCCGAGTCCCCTCGTGAAGCTAATGTGACCTCCACGGCAGCTCGGGCGTACTAATTCTCCCAGGCGAGGAGGAGCAGCAGACACGCAGCTCTGGACAAGGCAGACTCTGAGCTCACTCACGAATGCTGTGTCAGCACCTTCTGGCCTGGTGTTCCGACTCTAGAAGGTGCACTTCTATATTTTAGAGGACGAAATGACCCCAAAAGCTTGGGAGATGCCTTAAATCGGTGATTCTCAATGGACAATGGAGAACGATCATATCCAAATCACGAGGCGGGCTTCCTCAGACCACATCCGCCCAGAGGCGACTACTTTCCTCTCCAGGGAGAAGCAGAATCTCCAGGGAAGGGACCATGAGCAGTCTTTGGAAATGCGCCCTGGCAGCTTTCATACTTGAGGGAGTATATGAGCCTCCATGTGAACTTGCACGTGTATGTGTGTGCGCTCTCTCCCCGACCCCAAACACACACACATTCACTCCTTGCTTAAAATCTATTTCCTGAGGAATCCTAATGAATCATCCATACAACCACCTAAACGCCCTGAGAACCTATTCATAGTCAAGCCACCTTTCTTCCTCTGCGGAGTAGGAGGCCAACTGTCTGCTAAGCAATACAGTCATCAGAGGCCGTCTAGAACGTTCAGAGACTTATTCTTCTGAATAGTTGAGTGCTCCAAATAGCTAAAGATCTGCCCATTTAAGCATCAAGGTTTTTGTTTTTGTTCTTGTTTTTCCAAAATAATATTTCAGCAGTTAGGGGTATCAAACTGTCTAAAATTTTATTGCAAGCATTCAGTTTCCTGAAAATAATTTCGCTTCATCCTCATAATTCGAGGCTTTTATCACGTGTATTGATTTCTGTCCTGGGGCTAGAAGAGGTAGTTTATTTACTGAAGGTACAAAGACTTCCAAAACGCGGCTGAAAACAAGTGGAAAGTCAGAGAAAAACAAACCCCAAACAAGACTCTAAATAAAGAGGCCACATGCAGATGTCAGAGGCCAGGTAGGATGCCCCAGAGATAAAAAGTGAGTTAACGATCAACAGGGACATTCAGGAGAATTGTCCACAACAGCCCAGCATCGCTGAGCTGCATCGGCAAAACTCTCTGTTGTCTGAAGGTTGTCTGCTCACGTCAGGGTCTTCCTCCAGCCCCCTCCCCAGGGAATTCGGTGCTTCTAGTTTCCTGTGGTCCTAGAGAGGACCAGCCTTAGTGATGGGCGGATAGAGGGCCGAGGGCTGCCTTTCTGGTAAGCCGGCTGTGTTTGTGCTCTGCGCCTACATGAGGGTATTCAGGGATCGACCTGACTTATTTCCTGTACCTTGGGTGAGTCTCAGGAGGTTAGGTGACCCCATAGCTGAGCTCCAGACAGATAAGAAGTTGTCACTCTTCCTCATTTTTTCCCCTAAAACCACCTCCTTCTTGATGCCTGTGTTCAGCGACCGTGAGCAAACTCACACTCACCTACTCCGTACAGTAAGCTGCTATCTTGAGCAAACTCACACTCACCTACTCCGTACAGTAAGCTGCTATCTTGAGGACTGCAACCTGGGCGGGTCTTGTGGCTTGTACCTGTGGGCAGCCAGGGCTGCAGTGACCTCTGAGGAGGTACGCGGCCGCTAAGAACTCAGTAAGGTCCTCGACTTGCCATCCTCAGGGGACACAGCCCCTCCCGGAGATAAGGCCTCTGGGAAGAAGGCAAGCCATTTATAATCCTGCCATCAAAGGCCAGTCCTCAGAGCAGAGGGTCAGGGGCCAAAGAATAACAGTGATGTAGCAGCTTATGTCACAGGTGACCAAACCTAAGAGACCCTGCCTTCGATTCACTGGGGCCACGTAAATTGAAGGTAAGGCCAGAGAGGACAGTGTGTGACGCTGTCGTCCACACAGAGAGGCAGGTCAGAGTGATTTAATTGAAAAAAAAAGAAAAAAAAGAAAAAAAGGACACGTAATCGTGATTTTTGTTTTCATTTTTTTAAATCACCTGGAAACGTAGCTGGCTACCTTTGATCTCGTATTTTTTTTCCCCAGAGAACCCAATCTTTGCTTTCTCTCCAAGTATCACTCCACCCTCTGGCCGGCCTAGTTTCTCTCATTTTTCGTCTGTTCTGGCTGATATTGAGGCAAAGAGAAAGGGAAAGATTTGCTACGAACAGCACCGTGTCTGGTGAGAAGTGGGCAGCTGGGACTCCAAGCTGTGTGACCTTGGCCAAGTGACTTAATTTCTCTGTGACTCAGTGTCTTTCTCTGTAAAATGGGAAACGGAAACAGGAGTAGAAAGAAGACTTTAACTGGGTCGAGGGTGTCAAAAAGTCCAAACTCCCAGTTATTAGATACGTAAGTCCTGGGGGTGTCACGTGGCCCATGGTAACTATAGTTCACAATCCTATGTCGTATATTTGAAAGCTGCTCAGAGAGAAGATCTTAAAAGTTCTCACCAAGGCAAAAAAAAAAAAAAAAAAATGTGTAACAATGTGAGGTGACAGATGCTAACCTAACGCAGTAAGCATTTCGCAATATGTACCTTTATCAAATCATTATGTTGTACGCCTTAAACTAATAGAACGTTATATGTCAATTATGTCTCTGGAAAAAATAAGATCTCACGATGCAAACATCACAGGGGGCTGTGAGGACCCGACTCCTGGGGGGTCCCTGGCAGACGGTCTAGCACACAGGAAGCCGACTCTACCTGACACTCCACCTGGTGGCAGGCGGCAGTGGCGGGCCTGCCGGCTACTGTGACGCTCCAGGTGCTCTCAGAACACGCGTTAAGATTTGAAGGCCGCCACAGGGACTCATTTTAATAAGTGAGAATTATTTTTCATGAGCACGCCCGTAAAGCGGTCTTTGAAAACCGTTTTAAAATCTTTAAACTTATTCTCTGAGATCTCATCTACGACATCCGTGTGTACGATAATTCCCCGTTTTCATCATACATACAAAGGAAATTCTTATCCAAATTATCAAAATGTCCAAAGGTTTTGGACAGCGGGAGGTTCACACACACAACGTCGGCTCCTCTCTAAGGTCAGCCACCTTCTAGTCACACTGTCACGCACGCCTACTGCTTGACACTGGCACACTCGGGGCCAGTCCTGCTTACCCGGCCTCTCCACGCTCTTTCTGGAGGGCAGCCTCCCCCCAGCATCTCCTCGCCCTCAGGCACGGAGCATCGTCTGTCTGGTGCTCTCGACTGGCCCCTTCGAGACCCTGTCTTTGCACAAACTGCTCCTTCCACAAAGAATGCCCATCCTTCGTCCTGTCCTGACAGACACTTCTCCAGGCCCCACCCAAATATCAACGCCCTGGTGAAATCTTTTCACCTCTGCCCTCTGTGCTTGCACAGGTTGGTCATGTGACACTGTGACGCATCTAAGTTGCCCGTTTACGCATCTGCTCCCTCACCAGTCTCCGGGCTTCCAGAGTCACCCGGCGACCTTGTTAAAAATGTGGGTCTGGGGTGAGGCCTGAGAGTCTGCGTTTCTCGCAGCTCCTAGGTGATGCTGATGCTGTTGCCTTTAGACTCCACTGCAATAATGAGCTTTTAAGAACATCTCCGCAACCTCAGTCACTTGGCACATCCACATCATCATCAGCAGCATCATCAGCAGCATCATCACCTTTTGACACAACGACGCAGTAACAGTACTTAGGGAAATGAGAGAGATGACAGGGCTGCCTCAAGTAATGAAAATGGGGTGGACAAAGGGTGTGCGCGCATGAGTGGGGACATGGGGTGGGCTGCAGGGAGCAGACAGAATCAGGGAGGAAAAGGAGACAGGAAGGGGTCCATGAAGAAAAAACAGGGAGTGAAGAGGAAGGAAAACGAATAAAAAGGAGGGAGGGAGAAGACGCTGGGAAGGCAGATCAAAGAGCAGACACGGATGACGCCATCGGATGAGGAAAGGAAGGTCAGCTGACTTCTCTCCTGACGGTGGATCTGGACCTAGATTATCTGCCTTTCCAGCTCAGGGGCTGGGCTTCCGGACTGAAGGCCACCAACGGCTTCACGCCACTGAAAACGTGCGCTCAGAGCACCAACCCTTCATCCTAAAGGTTCTTCCTCTCCGAGTGAGGGAGGAATGAGGTCTCGCTGTAGGAGGAATAACGAACGAGGGCCATCTCGCCGTCGCGCATAGATAGAATGGTTGACATCAGCTCAGAAAATCTGAGAGGTGGAAAGACTTTTACCCCAAGACTTCAGGCCGACGGTCCGTTCAAAGGACCCACGCGACAGTTACCTGGTACAGCTCGATGCGTTGTTCGGCCACCCTGGCTTTGGGGTTCTGTAAACGAAAGACTCTAAACTCCGCTTTCACCAAATTAGAAGCATTTTTCTCCATCGCTGAGACGTCGAATCGGACAATCCTGAAGTAGGGTCTGTAGAAAGTGGGCGGGATGGTATCTGTAAAAAGTGAGGGCAGTCAGTGAAGATGACAGAAATCCATCGTTCTCCCAAGAAAAAGACTGCTCAGCATGAGACAGTCTTGAGAGACCATCAGGAAGATACCTACCAACTGATTTTGTTTTCAGTGGCCAATTTAATACCATCAACAATTTAACCAGAGGAAAATAAATAAATGAGCATGTGCATTTGGTTACAGGAGTAGTAGATTAATAGACGTTAACCAACCAACCACTTCCAACTCTGTTTGCGGGCATGCACTTAACCCTATCTGTTGAAAGTTGACACAGAAGTGGAAAATCCTAGACGGTTATGAACTGGAACACGCTCGTGACAGCTGATGCCTGGAGAGAGCTGTCGGAATCGCATACACTTTAATCACACGTGCCAAGAAAACAGCTCGTCACGGCAAGCAGTTCGCCCATGTATTTTTTTTCCTTGAAGGTTTGGAACCTAAATGTTCTACCCTCTCCAGGTTCACATACTGCATCTATTTTTGGCTTTGACAGTTTGGTTTTCACACGCATGTGACCAAATACACCCTCTGGTTAAGTGAGGGCGAGGAATCGTGAATTAAAAAAAAAAAGAAAAGAAAAAAGCTATACCAATAGACTGGCTAACCCAGGTCCGGTCTTAAAATCTTTTACTCAGGATAATGTCCATTGGTAGGAGGCAATCCTGCCGAATGAAGAGGAAGAATCGGCCCCAATCCCTGCAATTCCGAGCCACGTAAAATATCTGGAGAGCGAGCACAACGATGAGCAATGTCAAGCTCAGGAATTGCTTGAGAGCTCTGCTGTTCTTTGGTAGTAATCTGTCACTGCCTTTGCAGGGTCCCTGAGGATGAGGCAAAGCCGGTCCTAATTCCACCCCCAGACACCCTGTACCACCACCCCCATTTACTGAGCACCTACACTGGGCAAGCCGCTTGGTTCAGATGTGTCCACGGTCCCCTCCTGAAAACTTTCCTTCATTATTCCAGAATGCATCCATGTCATGATAGAGCTTCATGACAACGAAACCGCTCACGGTTGTTTACGGCCACTGACAAAAATTTTTATTACCTCTGCATGATGTTTGTTTGTTTCCCCCCGTGGAATTTTAAGAATCTCGAGGGGAGAGACTGTGTTTGCCAAGTTTTTCTTTTTCCCCACATACCTAAGACAGGGCTCTGCACACACGGAGCTCGCCAAATAGCCGCTGTTTGCATAGTTTTCATCAACGGGAGCCTTGAAAGACTCAGGTGTCTGGCTATTGACAAGACTAACTTCTTTTTAAATAAATGAGCCATCTTGCCGATCTTAAAATAGAAATAAATACCTTTCATGATTTCTTGAGAAGTCCATGCCCTGATGATTACACTAAAAATGCAAAGAACACACCGAGATTTCCTCACCCGAAGAGCTCTGCGCTTTTTTACTGAGAGCCAGAGGGCCGGGTCCCCTCCCCTTGCCCGGGTCCTGGTGACTTCCAAGCCACGCTGTGCTTGACGGCGGCTTCCTAAACGATGGTGTGAACTGAGGCTTTGTAGCTCATGAGCCAGAAATATTAGAAACAGACAGACAAACGAACAACCCCCAAAATCTAAAGCGGCCAGGTTTCGGAGAAAAGAAAGTATTTATGCCGACACAGAGATGGCCCAGTAGCACTATAGAGTAGGTGGACAGTGTTCAAGTTGGCCAATGCGCACAGGCAGGAGGATTCGGGAGCCCCCCAGCATGGCCACTTGACGAAGTAGCTGCTAAGAAAATAATCTTTCGCCTGCACGCGCCCAGCCCGGGTGATGGGTGGGCTGGATCATGCCTGACCAGCTCAGCTGAAAACAGGCCAGACGCCCAGGCAGAAAAACCCGGGCAAGGCTGGGGCCATGCTCTCTGGTCTTGCAAACCGTCTAGAACCTTCCACAGGCCTAGCGACTGCATTCATCCTTCCACGGCCTCCCCATTAGACAGCAGAAGATGCAAACGTGCTCTGAAGAGCATTGTGGAAGAACAAAGCTCATTCGGTGTGTTTCCTGTCATTAAGAAGCGAAAACGTCTAATTTGCTTTTCCCTTTCAGAGGCCCGCTCTGCTTCCCGAACGCCATCTTTCACACCCACCCGCCCCAACCTTATCCTTCCATCGAGTGTGTAAATAAGTGCTCTTGAGATTTATTTTTATTCTCTTTTGTGTTTATTAAACTTGGAGCCATTTTTTTTCCCCCTTTCTGGTTTTCTGCCCATACACACACTTTCTTTCTACGGCTGATGCAGACCACGAGGTCAATTTTGTTTCTTCTTCTAAGCAAATCATCCAATGATCCTGTCGTAGGCTTTCGAGCTTTGAAGGGGCGTTTGCAAATATTTACAGGAGCAGCTTGCGGGTGAAGTGCCTTCTGCTTCTCCACTCGTTAGCAAGCAGCCCTCCCCCCAACGGCCGTCACAACCATTTGGCTGTTATCTATGTCAGCTGCCTGATGAACACAAATCTGCAGTTTGGGTTCTTGTTTTATGAGCAGAAGCAGTTAATGCAGCAGGTGCAACAAGGCTGCGCAGCCCCCAGCAGCCACACTGCTTTGTCCCTGCAGCCCCAGTGAAGTGAGCAGGCCAGGAGGAAGCGGCTGCCTGCCACACACCCCTGCTCCGGCTCGCTCCGTAAGGACCGCTGGCTGAAGACCTGACCGCCGCTTCCAAGGGTTGGGCCCAGCTGTTCCCTGCCATCAATCTGCTATGGGTCACCAGTCCCCCTACCCAGCTGAGGAACTTGAGCGATTTGCCAAATGTGCCTGCATTGGAGGGGAAAAAACATCAGAGCAAATTGCTCCAGCCTAGTCTGTGACCCTGCCCTCGCCTCGTAAAAGCTTTTGGACGCCTGGTGTGGGGAGAACCAAAAGCAGGCCCTCTACACCCAGCCGGACGCGGCGGGCTCGCTCCCAGGCTCCGGGCTCCGGGCGCCGGAGAGGCAGGATTGGTATGGAATGGCTTGTGCGGCCCGATCCACCCACTGCACCTTGGAAGGACGGAGCATTTTCCACTGCCTGCTCCAAGAACTCATTTAGAGAGGACGGGAGTTCTCCCTCAAGGCCTCTGGCATTCCCATCCCAGTTCCTAGTTCATCGCCAGGTGGTCAGGTACTTGTGCTTGACCTTGGCCGACTTACCCGCACTCACATCCTGGCTGGCTCTCTTCCTCTCAATTTCTGACCCACTTTTTTTGGTTCAATCGAATTGATTTTCCTTCCACCCTTTGGACCGATTCAGACCACCAGGCTGACTCTGCTCCTCTCCCCATGTTCTGCCTTGTGCCTTCCTCTCAGGGAAAATCTTACACATAGAAGATTCCAGAATGTCATCAAATAATGGTGTTCCTCTCACCTCCACCCTGGCCACAAGTCCCTGCTGAATCAAACTTAGGGGAATGAACAGAGGCAGGGAAATGAGGAAATTTAACTAGTTATTTACTCACAAAGTCTCGGCATACAAAAAGCCTGATTATAGCACTTAATCATGAGTTACTTTATAAGCATTACATGTTGACTTATATGTTCCAAATAACTTGTTAGCTCACTGTATATTATTTCCAACCTCTGTAAGCACCTTGAACAGTTGATACACAACTCTATATATTCTAATTCCTGTCCCCTGCAGAGAGAGATTATAGTCACCAATACATTCTCAGACTCCCCGCCCCCATCCTGTAATGCTTCACCTGCTTTACTAAGCCCTCCCCAGCAGAAAGGGTGACAAGAGAATTCTACTATCCCCCAAACAATTCCTGTATCAAGAGATTCCACCTCCTACTAGGATGCTCATATTAGCAAAATTTTTTAAAAAAGTCAGCGACAAACAAACACTGAAGAAAAGTCTTACATCAGCAGTATGTGAGGAACTCTGACAGAGAACGTGGGTGTGGGGCCTGAAAGAAATCCCCCGAGGATGCCCAGAGGGGCAAGGTTTCAACCACCCACCGGTTGTTTATTCCCTACTAGGTTGGTGACACCACAGAACTGGCAGAAAAGAAAGTGTGACAGACGCTGGAACCTCGGGTCCAGGATCTCTCGTTGTCTTTTGCTAAAGCAGTGGTTCTCGAAGCGTGATCCCAAACTCCCAGCGTCTGCCTCACCTGGGAACCTGTGACAAATGCAAACCGTCCAGGGGAATCTGATGCGCCATCGAAGTGTGAGAACCACTGGGCTAAAGATGCGGTTGATGCCTAGCTGGTCAGACCAGTGCCACTTCACATAACAAGCCCATAGGTAGAGGCCAGGGAACGAGAAGAAAGAGAATTTAGCATCGACGGCAACTTTCTTGGAGGCAGCACTGACCAGAAGCCCCAAGGGAAACTGGGCGCTGGTCTCAGTGTTCCCAGCGAACCTCCAGGTTAAGGCAGAAGGTCAGTAGTTCACACTGAAAGGCAGAAAGTGCGGGTATAAAAGGAATTATTAGAGGCCTGGAGGTCTCGTTTGCCTTCCCGCCCAGCCCTCGCCACGTACCTTAAACTTTAAATACAAGCTCATCTCCCTCCTATGGGAAAAGTTGCAAGAGGCTTACCCAGTAGCCCAGGCTCCTGTTACTAGACAGGACATATGCATCTTATGTCACTGGAGCTCTCAAAGCGCGGGCGTGAGGCAGGGCCCAAGGGTCTCCGTTTCATCTAACTCCTTGGTCGAATCTTACACACCCTAAAGTTTGAGAACCACTAAAATAAAAGACAGAAGAGAAGAAATCCACAAAGACAGACAGAAAAATACAGGGGCACCTGGTATACAATTTTATTTTTCGAAAGCATTGATCACCTTCCAACATACCACAAAAGTGGTTATTTAATTAGTCTCTCATCTATTATTGTCTGTCTCCTGCTGCTAGAACATAAACTCCTGAGAGGGATTTGTCTGTTTTGGTAAACGAAGTAGCCAAAATCTCTAGGCAAATACAAAGAACATAGTCGTAGCTCAATAAATATTCTTAAATGATTAGAAAAAAAGAAAAAAGAACACGTAAAATTTCGATCAGGCATTTTACA